GGTGGATCAAACCCAATATGACCTCATCTTGTGTGCTAGGGAAGCATTCTACTACTCAGCTACATCCCCAACCCCTCACTTAGGTTTTTTGGAAAAATTTGAGAGAAATCTGTATTATTTCTTTAAATATTTGGTAGAATTCACCAGTGAAAACACCAGGCCCATGGGCTGGGGATTTAGCTCAGTGGTTGCGTCGCCTGCCTCGAAAGTGCAAGGACCCAAATTCGATCCCCGGTACCAGAAAAAACCCCACCAAGCCCAGCAATCCTTTGTTGGAAGATTTTTTTCAGAACCTGGGAAATGAACTTGGGAACCACTAAGCTACATTCCCAGCATTTTTTTGTTTTTTAGACAGAGTCTCACTAAATTGCATAGGCTAGCCTTGAACTTCTTATATTCCTGCCTCAGCCTCCCAAGTAGCTGAGATTACAGGTGTGTGCCACTGTGCTTGACTCCTTTGTTGAGAGATTTCTGAATATTAATTCAATCTCTTTAGTAGTTATAGGTCTATTTAGATTTGTATTTCATTTTTTGTAGTGCTGGGGATGGAACCTGGGGCCTCATGCATCCCAAACAAGTACTCTACACTGAGCTACATCCCCAGCCCTAAAGTTTACCTATTATTAATTAACTTATCATTATCTAAGGTCTTAAAATTAGTTGAGGATCTGAAATAGTACAAATTTTAATTTTGTTTTTTGAGACAGGATCTTGCTCTGTAGCCCAGGCTGGCCTTGAAATCATGGGGATCCTCCTGCCTCAGCCTCCCAAATGCTAGGATTACAGGTGTGTGCACCACACCCAACCATCTTTTTTTTTTTTTTACTTTATGAAGAGCTATTTACTTTTGGTGGTTCTGATGGTCAAGGTCCTTGTGCAGGCTAGGCAAGCACTCCACCACTGAGCTATATATTCTCAGCCCAAGAACTGCTATCCTTCCCCTCTCTCTCTTTTTTTTCTGTAGTCAACAAGGTATGCTGTTGGGCACATGGTAAATACTTAATAAACATTTGCTGCTTACTATTGTGTTTCTCTTGGAATCTAGCTACTATAACACTCCACTTTTCTTTGGTTTCAGAAAACAGATGAACATCCCACTTTCAAAATTCTCCTGAGCAACATTCTACATGTTATGGATGAAGAATCCTGAGCTGGCCCATAACCTTCTTAGTTTTCTACTCCTCTCCTCTACAAGCCCCAATTTCACTTTCTCTGAAGAAACCCCAGGCTTACAGGTTTTGGAGTTTCTGCTTCCCCTAAATACATGAACGTCCCTCTATATCCAGGAATGTCTCATTTCTTTGATTCCCTGGGATAGTGTTTCTGAGCAAAAGCAAAGGAATTTCTGTGCCTGGTATCTCCCCCACCCCCGCCAAGAGAGGAAATTTCCCAAGGCTATTAAAACAGACTGAATTTGGGAGGGAAGCCTTTTTAGGGAGGGAGGGGTGTAAATAACCTCATAAGGGATATTACTGCTCTTTTGGTAGGCATTAGAGTTTGGACAGCGAGACAGGATTTGTTAAGATTAAAACTGTCACTGGGCATAGTGACGCATGGCTGTAATCCCAGCACTTGGGAGCCTGAGGCACAAGTATCATGGTGAGTTCGAGGCCAGCCTGGACTACATAGCAAGACTCTGCCTCAAAAAACAAAACAAAACACAAACGAATAAAACTGTCATTAAAATAAACGGGGACTATTTTGATAAAATAAAATCCTGAAAAGAGTAAAAAGTCTCATATCTCAATCATGCAGTCTACCTGAAGCGCCCTACCTGAAGTTGCAGAACACTTGTGTGGCACTGGTTTCACACCAGCCATCTTAGTCCACTCTGTATTGCTGTAACAGAAGACTACAGATTTATAATGAAAATAAATTTCTTTCTCTTGGTTCTGGAGGCTGGGAAGTACAAGATCAAGGTGCTAACACTGGCTATCATTAAGAATACAAAAAACAGGGCCAGGGATTTAGCTCAGTGGTTTCGCTGCCTGCTGCGCAAGTGCAAGGACCCAAGTTCAATCCCCGGTACCAAAAAGAAAGAATACAAAAAACAATAAATGCTGGTGAGAAAGGAGCCCTTTTATACTGCTGGTGGAATGTAAATTAATGCAGCCACTATGGAAATCAGTATGGAGGTTCTTCAAAAATAGAATTACCATGTGACCTAGCTATACTATCCTTGGTATACAGTGGAAGGCATTAAAGTCAGCATACTATAGCGATACCTGTATACCCACGTTTATTGCAGCACAGTTCGTGATAGCCAACATGCGGAATCAGCCTACAGATGAATGGATAGTGGAAATGTGGTATATATCCATCCACAAGAGTACCATTTAGCCATAAAAAACATAATTATGTCATTTGAAGGAAAATGGATAGAACTAGAGATCATGTTGAATGAAATAACCCAGATTCAGAAAGACAAGTATCATACAATCAAAATATATTATATGCACGTATGAAAACGCCACATTGAAACTCAATATTAATATATTTTTAAAAGAGTACCTGTTAGGGTGATCATGAAAAAACATGAAGGGAACAGGTCATTGGCCAGTGTTAGTTGAGATTCAGCCTGCAAGGTCAGTCCTCATGCAACTTTGTATCTCCAGGGCTTTGCCAAAGAGCCCACCTTCACTGATCATGGCCAGAGAAAACCTCCTGATTCTGGCCAGAAATGAAACAAAGCTATTTGCAGGGACACAAAACTAAAAATTCTTTATCAAAGCTCTGAAATAGTGACCTATGCCAAGTTTATCCAAAAGACACTGGCCTAAGAATACCTTCTGAATCATGCGGTCTGGGGCTGGTTGTAGGGTAGACTTATTGGCCACTGGCTGATGGATACCTTTGTCTGGTTAATTCTGAGAACAAACAAGACACTGAGGTGCTAACTAGTTGCAAGACCCAGCACCAGTTGGTATCCCCAACTTCTTAGAGGGACAAGTAACATTCAATCATGAGAGATCAAGCATTTGTGATGCTTTTAGACATCCAGGCCTGCCCACCGGTCCTTTCTGTACAGACTTCTGCTTATAGATGAACAATATTCAAAGCACTAGACAAACATACAGACCACAGGAGCAGGCATAGAAGCCCAGATAACCAAAATCTGACCAGATAACCAAAAAGTCCAGGGAGACCTTCTTCTGAGAGAAAAAAAATAAATCTACTGCTTAAGGATCACAACCAAATTACCAGCACTCAATTCAGCAAGAACCTACCTCCTAGCCACAAGCAGAATGGCACACAAGAGGTTTCACCTGGACACACAATTACCAAGACAACAGTGAGATCCCTGGCCTAATCTCTGTGGACCCTCCATTTCTGACCATGCCCTCCAGCCAGAGACCACCAGCAATGCACCTGTGGATAAATAAAGGAAATGGGACACGACTGCATGCTTGAGAGGGCTTATTGGAGGACTAGGGCTTATGTTAGATGATTTCCTAGGAAAGCTTAAGAAAGGAGGATTTGCTGTAGGTTGGATGCTGTCCAAAAGTGGAGGCAATTGTTTTTGGTTATCTAAATCATTACAAGATAGAAGAGAAGAATCAGGGCTCATGCCTTATTTGTTAAAGCAGCAGCAGTCAGCCAGGTGGTGTGTGCCTGTAGTGCTACCTACTTGGGAGGCTGAGGCAGGTGGATCACTGAGTCCAGGAGTGGGAGACTGGCCTGGGCAAGCAATATAGTGAGCCAAGGTCTCAAAAAAGCAACTGTTTGGTCATTTTTGTGGTTTGGACAATGTTCTTTTCATGTTCAGACATTATTACAGAGTAGTCTCTTTCTCCATCTATCTAAGTGTGATGCTGTCTGATGTTGGTGTTTTGTGAAACTGTTCAACTGCACAGCCTTGCTGGTGGTGCCAGGCCAGCTCCCACCAACAGCAAGCCTTCTGGAGGGAGAATGCAAGTCAGCTCCCAGCTGCCAGGAGCTGCCTTCTCTTTTCCCCCCCTGCACTTACAAAATCGGACCTGGCAACCCCTTTGGCAGAACGTGAGCTCTGTGTATAACCACAGACCCATTTCTCTGCAATACTGTATGTGTCCCCTTCACTCATTCATACTCTCCCTGCACCTGTGGAAAGGAACCAGCCAAACCAGCCCAGAGAGAAGTGACTTGCATAGGCTCTCGCAGTGAACTGGTAGCGGGGCTGAACTAGAATTTTCACTCTGTGGTCTTGCTAGAGGTCAAGGCAGACTGTTAGACCCCTGAGATAACAGCCTGTAAACCTGAGGCAGATTGGCTCAGACAAAAACACTTCTCACTGCTTTCTTGTCCACAAGGGTTCCCGTCATTTCTTCTAGGATGCGGTGCTAGGTGTCAAGATATTAGCCGGGATGCTAAAGTTCCCCCCACCCCACCCCGCCCCCTACGGGGAATCGAACTCAGGACCTTGCGCTTGCCAGGCCGGCGCGGGGCACTGAGCTACATCCCCGGCCCGATTCTAAGCTCTTTCCTCAGCTGCTCCAGCCACTCCTGACCTTTCTGCTCCCCAAGTTCACCAAGCTTACTCCTTCCCTCCTGAGGGTCTGGAACTCTTCCCTCCCATCTGCACGCGGCTGCTTCTCACTTCCCCTCGGCACCTGCTCTGACAGCCTTCCAGTCCTCGGCGCCCTGGCATCCCTCCCTGTCCTCCGGAGTCCGCGTCCTCGGTCCCCTCTAAGAGCTTCCTTGGGGCTCTCTTCACAGTTCTCCTCAGTCTAGAGTGCGGGGCGGGGAGGCGGGAAACGCCCAGCGCCCTAACCTCTCTAGGCTCGTTTCCTTTACGCCCGTGAATCGCTGCGAGCAGAGAGCCAGTCGCCGGTGGAGACTTCACTTTGCACGTCCACTCGAACAGGGGCCCGGGCGCCTTCCCCGTCCGGGATTGGGACTTGCACCCAGCGTCCCTCGCCCGGCTCGGGAGACTCCAGCCGTACGCGAGCCCTCCGCACCTCCCAAGTGCGCGTGCCCGGAGCGAGCCCCGCCTTCAGGGCGGGGCCTGGCGCGCAGCGGGCGGGCCGGCCGGGCGTGCTTCCGGGTGGCGCGATGGGGCGCAGGGCCGGCGTCGCAGGCTAGGGGCGACGAGTGACGGCTCGCCGAGGGTGGCGCGGGCTGGCCTCGGGGCCCTGGAGGGCAGGCGGGCCGGAGAATCCGAGCCGTTGACTCGCCGCCCCCTCCCGGCATGTCGGCTCAGGCCTCCGACCCTGCGGCCCCGGCCCCGGCTCTGGAAGCCGCGAAGCCCTCGGGACTGGAGCCCGGCGCCGCCGCCTGCGGTCTGAAGCCCCTGACCCCGAACAGCAAGTACGTGAAGCTGAACGTGGGCGGCTCGCTGCACTACACCACGCTCCGCACGCTCACGGGCCAGGACTCCATGCTCAAAGCCATGTTCAGCGGCCGCGCGGAGGTGCTCACCGACGCCGGAGGTACGCGCCGCCGCCCCGCCCAGCTTCCCCTCCTTTTGCGAGCACTTTCCCTCCTCTGCTCCTTTGCCCCCAGCGGTAGCCAGCTAGTTACCCCGACTCTGCGAGGCTCTGTGGTAAGTGACTGAGCCCGCCACCTCGTAGTCCTCAGAGTCTGCCACCCTTCAGCCCCACGCTGAGGACACGGGAACCGGCCTTGCTGCCAGCAGCACCCCTGGGGCGACTCGCCTCGGTTTCCAACCACTCCCAAACCTTTTGTTCACCCCTCTGCCTCAGGACCACTAACAGCCAACCTGGAGAGCCGGGGGGGGGGGTCCTGTCTGTCTCCGTGTTCCCCTGACACAGGCTCCTGTATAAATGCAGTGCAGGAGGAGAAGGCTGCTCTGGGTTCGCCAGGGACACCCGGGCGGGTGTGCAGTGCTATCTTCGTGGAGCGGGACCCACACATCTGATGGGGCATTAAAGTTTGTTTGCCGTCCCTCCTCTCCTCCCTGCGGAGGTGGACGGGGATTCAGGGGATTACGAGTATTGTGAAGGCTGCAGGGTAAAAATTGGGGAGATGAGAGTTCAGCCTGCAAATATAGGCGAAGAATTCATTTATTTAATAAATATGTGTAAAGTACCAGTTGGTGCTGGAGACTTTTTTTATTTTTTGGTACCGGGGATCGAACTCGGGTCCTTGAGCTTGCGCAGCAGGTGGCGAAACCACTGAGCTAAATCCCCGGTCCAGTGCTGGAGACTTTTTGATAAAGGAATCTGACAAGATTGGTCTTATAGACTTTGCCTTTTTTAGGCAGATAGAACAAGGAAGTGAAGAACAAAATGTACGTATATGACATTTAAAATAGTAGTGAGCTGGAGAGTGGACATAGGCCATGAACTAGGACCGTCAGAATTAACTCCGGGGTTAGAGGCGTGTTCAGAAGGTAATTACGTGAGAACTTTTGGTGAGAGCCTTCTAACTGGAACAGATTCGGGAGGGAATGGTCTCTTGTGGTAGCTAGGGTGTGTGTAAACGCTCTGGGAGAACCCATTGGAGATGCAGTACTTGAAAACTTCCTTGAGTATAGCAGAGGTTTGAGACACATCAGTGTTCAGGCTCTTTCTCTCTGGAATCCTTTTTTCATAAAGTTTAGGTAGCTCCAGGCCTCTACCAAAACCATCCTTCCTGTTGCCTCTTTCCACTGTACCAGGTTGGGTGCTGATTGACCGCAGCGGCCGCCACTTTGGTACAATCCTCAACTACCTGCGGGATGGGTCCGTGCCGCTACCTGAGAGTACCAGAGAACTGGGGGAGCTGCTAGGTGAAGCTCGCTACTACCTGGTGCAGGGCCTGATTGAGGACTGCCAGCTGGCACTGCAGGTGAGGGTCCCCCACCTCCCAAGTCCTACGCCCATGTGCCTGGAGCTGTCCCAGGGTTAGCTGTTAGGACAGACAAAAGAAGATGCACAAAAAAAGAAAGAAGATGTACATATGGCCAAGAGCCTGGCTCTGATTGGGCGTCACCCCGGAGAATTTGGGAGTACTGTCGTCAGCATCCCTCTCCTCTGCCTCGAGCAGAGCCCCTTCACCTCCCGTGCCAGAACTCCTGGTGTTTAAATGCCTGTTCCCTGCTTCTTGCTGATCCCTCCTGGCCAGTCCGGCCTCTTCACTCCCACCTGAATAGTAAAGTCATCCTTGGCATGTTCCTGCTGGCTCCAGCCACTGGTGGTGCGTGCTTGATTGTCCCATCGGATGGCTCGTACCACTGGTGGTACAAACAGATCTAGTCATGTTTCTCGGTCTTTTTACTAATAAAATTAATAAAAGCTGCCAATGAGACAGTCATGCATATATCACTGTAGTTGGTGCCACCCAGCAGCGAGACCTAGGAATTATGGCCCTGTTGTGAATGTGTTAAACACAGCCCCA